AAAAGAACAAAAGGCACTCTTGTAGTAATTCAACAGAGGAATTATTTTAGTAGGAGAGTAATCATTCTTGTCTGTAGTCCTCAATAAGTGTTAATTGTAAGAAAAAGCTTATTAGGAATATTTAAATTTTCAAGTCCCCCTGTGCAAGCATATCTGAATTCCCAGAAGGTAGTTATAGTGCAAAGTGTATTAATTAAAATGCCACTTTGGGAAATCCTTCTTTACCCAATGTTCATTATTAACATGAAAGATAGTGAACAGGTTTTGATTTTCTATAAAATTTTAGTCATCGTGACAGGGATTCAAATGGTGAAGAAGAGCATTTGAAATGTTAATGAAATTCTGATCATTTTACAGGACTTAGTCCTTTTATGATATTTCTGCCCCAAATGAAGGATTTGCACAGCTTTGCAAAGATCCAGGGCAATGTATTGTCAAACTCTGGATCCCAGAGTCACTTTCTAAAGCAACTAATGATTTGGAGTGCTTCAGTTTAGGGGTTTTTCTATACTGATATATATACTAAGCCATAATTATTCCACAGCTCCTATTGGCCTGTCTGAACTGTTTATAAGACTCACAGTCCATTTCCCGCAGCGGCCCTCCTTAGCTGGGGTGACTGTTGGTCATGTTAATATTTCTAACTGCCAGAATCCTCTCCCCATTGCTTTTTACTAAATATATCCTGTGATCAATATGTGCCTTTCAGATGATGCAAATCCAGGTATCTCTATCACATGAGGAGCTGCATGACAAACAGGGCTTACACACAGGAGATGGCTCGAGTTCGCTGTGTGACCAGTCATGCTCTGCCAGTCATGAGCATCATGCCGAGGGAAGACAACCTTATGTATCAGTAATACACCCAGGACCTGTGAGTACAGTCCTCCAGTTCTTCTGCAAGAAGCCTTGACAGATTCTGGCAGAAAGATTTGGTATCACTGCTTCCCTGCATTTTGAAATTCAGGACCCTTTCAAATCTTAGACCACAATTCCACGTCTCTAGGCACTTTTGAAAATGCTGACTTATGCAACCAGAGATCCAGACTAAGCTGTAACTTT